CCCGGGGCGGCTCCCGCTCCCAGGGCCGCGGGGCGGGTGTGGGCCGAGGCGGGACCGCCGGCTCCAGCTGGCTGCTGTCCTGGCAGATGCTCCCCAGGGACCTCCCTTGCTCACCTGGACCCCAGTCACGCCCGGGCAATGGAGTTCCCAAACTCTCCCCTGTCCTCCGCGTTCTTTCTCAGTTTGCCATAGGCCCGAAGCTACTTAAACACCTCGCTCTCCTGTCTGTGAAAAGGGCAGCTGCAATTGGCCCCTGCTCTCCTTTCCAGCGAGGGAAATGGTGCACCCGGAGTGTTGGTTTACCCTACTGAACACTCTTAACGCAGTGCCTCCACAATGGTGCCCAGACTATCTTTAGGTGAAGGTTGGCTTGCCTGGGGAGGTTTGTTTTATTCCCCAAATAATCTCAGGGGCTGCTGAGGTCTCTTTTCAGGCCTTGAGGTCAAACCTATTGCATCACCATGAGTCCATACTACCTGGCTCCAAGGTGCGCTTTGTTCTTAGGAAGAACGGGCTTGAGTTCTGAGCCTTGTGCCCCTAAGGGAATGGAGCCCAAGGCCTGAAGGATAAAATCTGTTCGCTTGCATTTACTCTCTGCTCTGATTTAAACACGTGGTGTCACAAATGTTTGTTGCACCGAAAAATGAAATCCTACTACATTTCGGATGTAGCAAGCCAAAGTGATGTGGGAAATGACAACTTACACTCCCTTTAAGAAGCTGCAGTGGACAGACTTGGGATGGCTGTTAACTTATGCCATAAAAATCTCTTCCATCTTTTTGTTCCAGGACAGGTCAAAATTCTGCTTTGATTCACAGGGCCTCACAGCAACCACTTTATCATTCTCATAGGAGAAATCACCCTTGAGCTTGTATTTAATATTAAACTAGATCACACTGAAAGCTTATCTAGGAAAACCAAATGGGACCCATGGGAGTGAGTAGCTGAGGGTGACTTACTGGGAGGGAAAATACAGTCTAAGAAATCAAAATTACAGGGGTATCTAAATCCCACTCTCCATTATTTAGCACCAGTCATTGGAAAAGGTATCACATCTGTCATCAGTTTCCTTTTTAAGTCATTCCTCCCTCTGACACACACACACACACACACACACACACACACACACACACACCCCTCGGCTGCTCTACCCACCCTAGGACAGCTTTACATGCAAATTCCTTCTCCCCAGCACTCTGTAGTCTTGAAGCTGTCCACAAGGCAGGACTCTAAAATAAAGAACGATCTCAAAGTGTAGAATGCTCCCCCTCTAATGACAGCCCTGGTGACCTGGGATTTCTTTCTTTCTTTTATTATTTTCTGCAAATACCAACCACTTGATAGCCACCTCCGTTGAAATTGCACGTGTACACACACGCCTGTATGTCTAAGTTATACAGATACTAAGTGCGTATCTGACCATATCCAACTGAATTGATCAATGGCAGAACAAACAAGATCATACATAATCCTTAAGTGAATTCTTTTACCTTAATTTTAAGTAACCATGCTGTGACTATAGTGACATATAAAGTTCTTTGTACTTCTGTTCAGAAACAGAATGTGAATAGAGCTATAACAAGTTAAATATATATGCATATGAGTATAAATATATATATACTAAAACAACAATTCCCAGCATAAAATGGACCAGAGAAGGATCACTTCACTGATGAACTCTACAAATGGTAAAAAGAAGAGTTCTAACCCTTCTCAAATGTATGCGATACACTGAAAGCAGTGCTGAAGTGTGGGTTGGTGGGGGGGGGGGGCAGTGGGGACCGGTACTGCCATCATCTCAATCTGCCAACTGTGCTGGTTATAATGAATCTGTGATAGTGTAGAGAAATAACTGTGACTAACAAGTCATGGGGTATTTGATAAGCAAATGTGGAGAATGTTCTCTTAAACTAGTAGGTCTTCATTTTTACATCCCTTTTTGTTTCTTTTGAAAAAGGTACACACGATGTACGGATGTAAAAAAAACTAGCAGGCAGTTCGGCAGAAACCAAGTAAAGAGGATCTGATTGAATTGATTCCGTTTTAGGACACAATGCCCAAAGATACCTGAACGGGGAGAGTCAGGAAGTTCCTAAATGGCAGCATCTTCATGACTGAAGCACCTCCTTAGCGGGGAGAGGCGAGAACTCCAGTGTCAGATCCGTGGGCCTCTTCATGGTGCTCACTCTGCTTGCAGACTTTGGGTGCCTAAATTCCCTTCTCTCTGAGAGACTAAAAATAAATTAAAATAGTAGTTGGCCATCAAAGGCTCTTTAGGTGCTCTGCCCAGCACCCTTTGGGTCCTTTTCACCGTTTCTAAGCACCCACTTTTAGCCTCTTTCTTCTTTTGTGTCCAGTAACCAGCTTCTCCCTCACCCCCACCCCCACCCCCACCATATGAGAGTCTCTGAGACTTCTCGGAGGTGGCAATCTGAAGAGTGATTTCTACTCCAGAGTTCTTATTTTAAACACACACACACACACACACACAGGGATCAAGCTGAAACCATCCTCTGTTGTACTAATTCTAAAATCTCACTTGGTTTCTTTCTTTCCCTTACTGCTTCTCCTGGGAACATGTACTTCAAAAATCAACCTTGCACATGAATACATCATTTAGATTCCTCTAACGTGAGGGTGCAGGGTTGATGTCAGAAATAAATAGGGGGAAATCCACTGTAGGAGCTGGAATAGAGTCAACCCTCAAAAAGTAACTAATCTTTTTCTTCCTACTCTTCAAATCCCTCTCAACTGGTCTCCAACAGAAGAACAGTTGCGAGGCTGGTGCCGGACCAGGCACTGTTCCGTTCTGTTGTCGCAGGGTCGCGTGGGTCAGGACCAACTCCAAGGCCACAACAACTCACTATCCTAGGATCAGTATGATCAGAAGGGATCATCATTGCTACTGTGAGGCTTTCTACTATAAACATTCATCTTTCCCTCAATTTCTTTTTCTGCTCACTAAATTCATTTTGCTAATAGAAGAAGTTCTGCACCCTTCAATGAATAGTTTTCATGTTGTTGCTGCTTTCAAATGAAAGGAAGAACAGGTGTCACACCTAACAACAAAACCCCAAAAATGTGAAGCAAACACTGACATACATAGGGGAAAACAAGCAATACAATAATAATAGAAATGTCAACATTCTGCTTTCAATAATGGATTAAAAAATTAGGCTGATCAGCTAGAAAACAGAACACTAACAGAGCCTAAACAGTACACACTAACTAGATATACTAGACATCTATCAAATTCTCCACTTGCATTAATTTTCTCAAAACACTCTCCCATGCATCGAGTCAATTCAGAGTCAGAGTGATCCTTCAGGACAGGGTAGAATTGCCCCTGTAGGGGGTTGAGACTCTAACTGTCCATGGGAGTACAAAGCTTCCTCTTTCTCGGGAGGACTTACTGAGACTTTCTGTAATAAATGACTGCAAGTGAAGACAACCATTCTGGGGGTGTTGGCAAGGCCATACTCCCTTTGAAAGGGCCGGAGAAGAAGACATTCTGGACTTTTCCTAGCATCTGGTGCTTGCCGGCAGTGCTTGGAATTCCCTCTAATTTTCGCCCTTGTCTTCACATGCCCATCTTCCTTCTGTGTGAGAGCCACGTCTCTTTTTTAAATAAGAGCATGAGTCATTGGGTTTAAAGTCCACTCCAATTCAAGAATCTTCACTTTGGCTAATTACATCTTCAAAGATCCTGTTTCCAACTAGTCATATTCGGAAGTTCCAAGGGACTTTTGAGGAATGCTGTAAGGAACCCAGGTCATCAGGTGGTCATTGAAAATTTGGCACTCACACCCACCAGCTGCTCTGAGAGAGAAAGCGGTGGCACTCTGTTTCCATAAGTCTTGGAGCTTTGGAAACGGTATGGTGCAGGCCTCTGTCTTCAGGGTCAGAAGGAACTTGGCAGCAACAGGTTCATTTTTTTGTTTTATGCAACCCTGTATACTGCCATACACATTCTTTTCCAGGGCCCATGAGATATTCTCTAGGGCAGACCATATTTTAGGCCATAAAACAAATCTCAATCAATGTCCCCCCCAAAAATAAAATAATGTATGTCCTCTACCCACATGGAATGAAGCTGGAAACCATTAATGCAGAAAACTTCAAAATTCAAAGAGAAGTGAAAATTATTTTAAATACATTCCTAAATAAACCAATGAGTCAAAGAAGAAATCACGAGAGAAATTGGAAAAAGCATGGACATGAAAGAAAATGAAATCACAGCATGCCAAAATTTACTGGATGATGATAAAGCTCCAATAAAATTTGGAACTGTAAATGCATGCATACATTAAGAAAAATGAGCAACATCTCAGTCAATAACCAGTCAATAAAGTGGCCTGATCTTCCGCTTTAAGAAACTAGAACACAAGAACCAGCTAAACAGCAGAAAGGAAGTAAATAAGAAAAATCACAGTAGACACAAATTAAACAGAGAATAGGAAAATAATAGATGAAATCAGCAGAACCAAAAGTTGTC